TTCTCCGTATAGATGATAATCTATTGACAAAAATACAAAATGTTCATTTTTTTGCTTCTGTATTGGAGTTTATAATTACTTACCTACCTCGGTTTATTGTTTAGTCATGAATCTTTTATGTTTTTTCAAATATATTGCTCTTATGTTTGTATTAACATTTAACTGTATAGGTATATTTTATTTTTTTGCAGAGCAAATTGAGTTACATTTAAGTTATTCTGTATCTTCTCTCTTGCTTAAACGAGTATTTATACTGTACACGTTGTGGCGCACGTGACGTGTTGCACGAAATTTACGTACCTACCTATATTATACAACAAACGTGATAAAATTATTTTACATCGGTGTAGACTGTAGACACTCGTCGCACAGAACCTTCAGTTTGACACTCATTTAATGAAGACATGGAGTCGTAATTTGTTCGTTCTTATATTATTTTCCTGCCATAATTGCATAACCATTTATTTACTAATATAGTAATATGTTTAAAATATATTCAACTAATGTGGAATATTTTAATTGATCTTTATACTATGAATATAAGAACATTTCTTTTATTGAAACCTATTTTCGGTTTTCATCAAACAGAACGAAATTTTTATAGATGCACCTACATTGAAGAATATCATTGGATTATGCAATTATTTAAATCTATCTCGACAATTATTCATTGTCAATATAACAAAGGTCTTGAAAGGTCACCCTACAATTATTTCGAACGTCATTCGTTGTTCATATTTTCATAATGCCCGGAAATACACAGGATATTTTTCGCAGTATTTATCTGCATTCTAATTTGTAGATCAACTAATTAATTTCTCCGGGTGAATAACAGACTATTAATTTTAAATAATAAAAAGATTTCTTTAACGATAAGTCGATTATATTAAACATAGGTGAAATAATAAGTTGTATATTTAAATGTATTAATGATCTCTCATAGTGAAATAATTTTTTATTGATTACGGTTAAGATGTAGACCAATCTTTTGTAAAAAGTGTGATATAAACGTCTTCTCCTAGCTCATTCCTCAAAATAAAAAGGTTGATTAGTTATTTATTGTCGATGGATATTAGCTCATGGAAGCTGTAGTGTAATATTTTAAATGCGTTTTTTATCCTTAGTTATGAATTATGATTCTTCGAGGTATGCGTTAGAATATAGATTCCAATAATTGTATAATAATTGCATAGTTGTAAAATCTGTTATCATTATACTCCTATTATATTTGTTCTTGTTTTAATTTCTATTCAACACTTTTTAATGATTACCAAAAATATTTAGTTAGTATTATCTATACGGGTATTCTTTTGATCTATATACCAAGAAATTAATTATTTTAATAATTTATTTGCATGTTTTTCTATTACACATTTTACTTATTCATGTTATATCAATTTTCGAGCTAATAGCGATTTGCCTCTGTTTATAATTACGCACATTGAATTACAAATGCATTAATTATTATTTTGACTCTTAAAAGTGTGTAAACAAAATCATAATCCACACAATTTATTTACTAAGTCATTATGTTTCAAAATTAATATTCAATTTATTGTATTAAATAATTTATTCAATTTTAAATAAGTTATGTTATTTACAACCATATTATAAGCATAAGCATTTCAAGGCTGTAAAATTTCGAGGGTGTGGAGTTTGAACCCAAATTAGCGTCAGTATGGCCTTATTGTAGCATTTAATATATTATAGTAATTAAATGCATATTTCTTGTAAAAATCACCTTTGGGTATCATATAAATGTAAAATGTCTTTGAAAATTAAATACTTATATATATAGGTATTTACCAAGACATTAAGTTTTATTTTATTTGGCAACAATTCAGCAATTAAATTATCAAGAATAAAATATTTTGCCATCACCAGTGTATTTGGTCTACATAGTCACATTGGTACTTTAGTCTCACATGTGCTATTTTGTTCACAATATTTCCATGCCAAATATAAAGAAAATAGAAATGATTACTTTTAGTTTACATAAGATGTTTGCATTGGACTTATTTCTGTTGTTCAATATAACAAAGTTCATCAGTAAATTGTTGAATTTCAAATTAAAATACTCATTACATTTTTAAATTAGGAAAAGTATCTATCATTACTTTTTACATTGCATCAATTAATATTGATCATATTGTTAGTTTCCGTATTCACCGGGTGTTACACAAATAAAAATTGTTTCATGGCCATACTTGCGAGTGAGTTAAGGTCAAATGATGTGTCGATGATAAAATATAATTGCCGCCTATATGATTTTAGTTTGGTTAAAAATAATATTTTTTAATCAAGCTTGGATTAATTTGAACGAACCATTACATTTTCAATCGCACATTAACGTAGTTCTATTTACGTCACTTAAGCTTGTTTTATTGATTAATTGGTTCCATAATTCAATAAATATATAATTGTTTTGTTTTTCGCCTAAAATATGTGCGTATATGTGAGAATTGATAGCTTTCATCGTCGAATTTAAAATGCTTACGTATATAAATTTCATTATTTAAGTATAAAAATAATAGGCAACACAATAGAAGGTATGTGTTTTTGTTATTATTTCATTATTTAGAGTTTAGAGAGACGTGGTATCGTATAAAGTTATAAATATAATGTTATAATGAATTTATTGGGTCTTACACATGGTTAGTGAATAGCCAGAGTAGGTATACCTAAATGATAACATGGTTCATGACCTATAGGCTATAGCCAATGTACGAATTCGGGATATGGTGTCTGACTCGTCGCACAACATTTCACTCAACGGTGATTCAAAATTCTTGTTGAAAAATGCAGTCAATTATTACATAATAGTACTTATAATCAGGGCCGGATATGAAGGGGGGGCGAACCGGGGCATTTGCCCAGGAAGTTTTAGTTGAGGACCCCCAAATTAATATAAGTATACAAAATAATAAATGGATATATTAACAGTTATTAACAGTTTATTCATCATATAATGACTCATTATCATTATTAATGAGTATTATAGTACAAATTACAATTTTCATTTGACATATTATAAACAGTATGTTAAAAAATGATTTGGTTTTAGGCAAGTGTCGTGTTAGTCCTATGACAACGGAGGAAACATGGTTAGAAAATTAAAAGGCGATTAAGCTTTTGGTATTTAAAAGTTGGATATTTCACAATTCCGAGTATTATACTCGAGTGATATAATACTCTTAGAATTGTGAGAACTTTTAAATGCCAAAAATATTAACAGGATACGTATTCCAAGTGTTTTAATCACATTTTTCCTATCTATGATAAAATCAAAATATTTTGACTTTGAGATTTGTGTAATACTAATTTTGTAAGATTTTTTACATATTTTGGCATTTCGTGCAATTTGACAAAACCGGTTTAGGTTATCTGAGAAATAAAAATAACGTGTTTCACAATATTACCTACTATTTGTACACTGTACACGTCGTCTGCACTAACTGCTACTACCGATTACCGAATCAAAGTGTTTTGATACCAAACACAGACTAATATTCTGATACATTTAAATGGTTTTGTTCTATTTGGTTGGTGGAGAAAATAAAAAAAAGCACAATTTAGTATCCATGATCCATAAGGTATGAATGGACGAGTATCAATATAACTAACCTTTAAGTTATTATAACAGATGATTACTATATTTACAATTTAATTTCTCCACAAATCCACTAAATGTGTTATTCGAACCTATATTTACCTAATGATTATTGACTAGTTTAGAATAACAAAAAAAATTCATGGTTTTGTTTGGAATAAAGGAGTGTATATTTCCTAAAGCTATTACTTCTTAGTTATTATGTGTTTGCCCTTGAGAAACAAAACATAATTATTATGTTTGCTATCATCTATAGGTATAATTGATTAAAATCGAAAAAATATTAGTCACATTTGGCCACCTATCTGCAATCACCACCGTCCATTCAACATGTGGGTATGGATTTTTATCTTGCAACATTTTTAAGCACTATCATTCCTCATACGTTATAATTAATATTATTTAGGTCACTGGAGTGAATAAAGATTGACCTCAATTGTAAGATGTACTATTACCTAAAAAAAAATAAGCCTGCATTTTATTAAGAACTTTCCGTTATTAGCACATTCATTCATAGATCATAATACAATTTTCGCGACCACTGTGTTGTGAAATAATTTTTTCTTGAATATATGTGTACCCGCCATTTATCACCACGAAATAAAACTTTCATGAACTCTGGTTATAAGAATAATAATGTTAATAACCTCGAGAATTGTATTTTAAATAATACCAAGTGGAAATTTCACATTAATTTATTTGTTATTTTTTATGTGTTTGATGCAATGTAATTAATAAAATATATAAAAACATTTTTTTTATAATATCCAACTATATTTTTTATATAGTTATTTTGTACCCCCCATGTTTTGTGAGTAGATTTTCCGTGTTAGTAACAGAGCTACCGTGGACAAATATATACTTGGTATCCTATATCCAAGGGCTACTAAATCAACATATTATATAATACTATATGATTATGTGTATAATGTATATATATACATAATATGAGTGTGTGTATCTGTCTGTGTAAAAAAGATTGAAATCTTAATATATATATGTTATACATTATATATATTTTTTTTTGGATTAAGGTTTCAACTACTAAGGTCATTAGCCTGGTACTGTGTGGGGAGGGGGGACGGTTGGTTGGAACACGTTTGAACGTATAGCAAGGATTTGTTGCTAAAAAACCGGGTGGTCACCCATCCGGGAGCTAGCAACGCCAACCTGTACGTACACTCAGAGTGTTCCCGTAGATTGAGCATACCTCACCAAGGGGGGTAATCACCTCACCAAGAATACTTCACTTTATCTTATTATATATATTTCTAAGTATAGGTACTATCTTATATCATAGAGCTTCTCTAATTTGTATTTATTTGTATTATTTTTTTACAATTAATTAACGATTATTATTTTATTTATTTTTATTATTATTTTGTTATAGCCATCAGTTTTATTTGCATGCCAAGTTAGAGCTATGTGAAGGGCGTTTAAGACCGAAAGATAGCCAAGCAATATGTAAAACTATTGCATTGTTGGCACAGGCTGAATTTGGTGAATGCGATGACTCGGTTGCTCTTGTTCAGTTTTACGCCTATTGGTGTGAACATTTGGGCGCACCTAAAGAAGACGATGAGTTTATCATTGATCATATTCAAAATCTTCAGTCTGAAATGAAAGTATGTGTAATATATTTTTATTTACCTGTTTAATTTATTTTAGTCAAAACTCTATCAAATTATTGTTATTTTTTAAGAGTATGAAACAAACAACTGCTGAATATTGGTTGATCAAAGAAATCTCTGGTCTACAAAACTTTGGTGAAGAAGTATTTGAAGGCAGAACAACAAATGGTTCTTCAGTATTGGTGGGAGTTGGACCACATGGTATTAGTTTGGAGCACCCAGATCAAGCTGATCATGAAAAACAAATGTAAATTTTAGTAATGGACATATTAATTTTTTAGAATGATGAAAACATATTTTATTAGACATTGTTGAATTCAATTCTTCTATTTTAAAACACTATTTCAATAAAAAATTTTTATTAATATTGTAAAATATAACTTTTAGGATTCCTTATACTGCGATCCGCAGTGCTGCCAGCCATCGTCGTGTATTTGAGATGTGGTATTTGGCAGGTGTTGAACATTCCGAAACACTAATTGTATTGAAATTAGAATCTAGTCTGGGTGCAAATACTCTTTATAGAGCACTCACAGAGAAACATGCATTCTATAGTTGTGAAACGGTTAGAGGCGCTGTTACATCACAATATATCAGGGATCTCAAGGTAAATATTATATTATTTTAATTATGAAAAATGTTCTGTGAATTTACAAAATTAAAAAAAATTTTAAATCACATGTAAAAACCTTTGTTAAAATAATATTTTATACATTTTGTCACCTAAATTTGAAACGTTGAACTTTGGAAGTGTTTAATTAAATGCAATTTTATCAATGATATTCAAATGTTCTTCTTCCGTATACAGTTTTGACCTATGATAATTTCTAAATACTGTTGTTGATGTAATTGTTTTTTTTTCAGGGTACAATTATATCTATATTTAATGAAGATTCACCATTAGGAAAAAAATATGTGTTTGACATACAGAGGACCTGCCGTGAAGTTCATGATAATGCACGCCGTGCACTCTATGAAAAGCAAAACAAAGTCACACCATCCAGCTCTACAGCTGTACTGAGTTCGCCTGAACCCGAGCCAACTACTTCACAGGATAGCTACAAACTAGCCAAACTCATTGATGCACTTACATGTAGAATTTGCATGGATGCCACTATTGATCATGTATTTTTCCCATGTGGTCATGTTATTGCATGTGGAACATGTGTTAAACGATGTGAAACTTGCCCACTGTGTCGAGGTGCCATTGATGAATCCAGGCATGTGTTTATTCCGACTTTAGCTGACTTGCCAGGTCTTCATCATTGATGATGTAACCGAGTAAAGTATGTTCAAGTCATGATGACTTGTAATGGGCGCATTGTCGTCAAAATTGACCTCGAAGCATGAATGTCTGTGATAATGCTAATATATCAAAACTTCCTATACTTTCATACTTATTTATTTTTATAAAATAAAATTTTTTTATGGTATTGATGTGAAAAATGGAAAGGAAATTTCATTTGTATCATTTACATGTTGTTTATAATTCATTTAGTTTAAGGTAATATATTTTTAAGTATACTTTTTATACAAACTCATAATTAAATTTAAGTTTTTGTGTTACCATTAAACTATTAATTTGTATAATTCAGATAGATGACACAATTGTTTGTTAATACAAACATATGTATACTTAAACTTTATTATTGAAGTTAAATAAGTACAATTCAAATTATGAGTATTTAAAGTTGAATTTTTATTTATAGATTTTGTTCAAAATATTATTATTTTTTCATTTATTCTATCATAATTATCATTGCATTATGAAATATATAAAATTATGCAAATTTATACATATGATTTGTGTTTACTCATTATTTTTAGTTTTTGGTAATCTAATTTAGATGAAAATTCAAAAGAGAATTGATGAGAAGATGATAAGATTATTATTTTTATTTATATTAATAAATATTTTTTAGCATAAATGAGATTATTAAAAATATTATAAACTATTATAACCCAAGTAAAAATCTGAAAAGGATGTTAGCTTAATCCTTGTTTTCTCTTTCTGACTTATGCTCATTGCTCAACATAGATAAAATGAATTTATGCAAAATTGTTTTTTATGATTTTTGACTAATCTTAAAGTAAAAGAACTTTATAAAATATACAAAAATATAATTCAAATTTATGAAATATAGTAACTTTTTATGATTAAGACAATAGAAGTATGAGAATTTCAATAAATTGTTAAGGTTTTTTAAATATTTAAAAGCGGGTAAATGGATGTTGCTGTAATGGATAGTATTAAATTTTAATTCAATGATATCAAATCATTGTACCTATACGAAAAACATTTCTGAGCGGAGATGCCGAGATGGTATGTCAGTTTAGAATATTTTATATTGTTACTACTATTATTATCAATATGGTAGCCGATAAGTTGAATTAATATTATTCTCAAATTATCAGTGATGCTGGAAAAATATTAAATATACCTAAGTAAAATTGGGCTGTCTAGGAACCGAATTACAACAAAATGATAAACATTATTCTTTGTGTTAATATGCAATTTTGTACTTAAAATGTCTGCAATAAATAACTGTATTCATATATTGAAATAAATGTTTATATATAAAAATAATTTATGTTTCACAAAGAAACAATTAATCAATCACGGACCGTGATTTTGTTTTCTATATTTAGTAAATTAGAATTGTTAGCAAGTATTGCATTTTTTGAAGTATAAACATTATAAAAACCACGGTTCTGTATTTTTCGGAAGTGTAGAAAAAGCACCAAGCACGTACTAAGAATTAAAGCGTAAGTCTAATCTTTCCCAAAGCTCTAATAAAGCTCGAACTATGAAAGTATCTAGACTTAACGAGACGTTTCCACAAGCCGAACTGCGAAGGCTTGAATGGACAGAGCTTGAGGCAGTTCGTAGAGCTACCAAGACACCAGGCAGTCCCAAGATAGGCGTCGACAGCAAGCTGAGTATCTAGCATCTCAACGAGTTGCAGTTCCCATTAAAAGTCACATTTTCAATAACGATCAACAAATCGCAGGGTCAAACCTTGAAGGTAGTAGGCATACGTTTTTTTACTTCAACTGAAGCATGTACAATGTAGAACATAGAATATATTTCATTATATATATATATATATAATAATACTAGCTGACCACGTTGCTGTGGCTCAGTAATTATAATACATTGAATCAATTTTTTACTAATTCTTTGGTACAATCAAATTAATATTTTCTAAAAATATTTAAAATAGATTCATTCATATGGGATTGAAAATAAAACGTTTCGCCAAAATTTAAAAATTTAACTATCATATCTTAATTGAGGCGATACTCTTTTAAATAATTGGATAAGTTGATTATAATTTTCAAAAAAGTTTTCCAAAGATTCCACAATTGCTCTCTCTTCTGCTCGTTCGATGAAATTATACAGGCACCGAGTTGCCATGCGTTCCTCACAACTGCCCATAAAATAAATTTGGAGAAACTTTGGATCATCATTAGGCATTGGCATTAATGGCCCAATCTTGTGGTATACTTGGCCTTGGATTTTGAACGTAGTTTCAAAATTATTTCCATTAGATGTCAGATCGCAAATTTTAGTTGCGACTAAGGACGTCATTTGGAAGCAAGAATTGAATTTGCGTAGGTATCTTACTGTGATATTTGTATAAAATAATAAATACTCAAAATATTATTGACAAGGTATATTTATTGAACGTCATGAGGCGTAGTAGTTCGCGACACAACTTCGCAACGAACACTGACGGAAACGTAATAATACATATAAATTCACCGGGGTCGGCGCGATATATACAACAAACCACTATCGATAAGCGATAACATATAATATAATATTACACAAATATCACAC